AAAATTTCTCCACACATTACCCCAACATTTGTAAGCATTTTGCTGAGATGGATAAATTGATCTACTTGCTCTAATTTTTAAATTTATAACAATTGTTTGCTGCATTTTTCCTATCAAAAATAACTACATTGATCTTGGGTACATTTAAGATCCATGCTCCATCATACAGTCTGTCATTTGCTAAAAATCATTAGGCCTATAAATCAACACAGGATTGGCTGTGTATAAAAATACATGTACATTCACATCTCCAAGTAATATATTTCTAACATCACAAGCAGTACTTGTACATTTATTCATAAATACATTAAACAATTGAGGAAACATCACAGATCCTTGCCTTATTCTCATTATATATTGTTTATATCGTTCTCATCATATATTGCTCTTAATGCACTCAGCTTAATGCCTTCAGTTCCATATTGTGCAAACAATCCAAAATTCAAACCTATCCTATACTATCTTTAAATGAAATGTACAATAAATTTTACTTTTTCTCAATGACGTGCTGAAGAGCAAAAAATTTGGCAGACCACAAAAGTGTACACCATAATAATTTTTTACTCGTCAAGGTGACATAATTCCATGCCATTTTTGTATAATTATTATTTCTTAGGGGTGATATTTGGCTGGATTCACTTGTGCTGAGCTGCAATGTGATTTTGTGTTTGGCTTGGTAAATTGTATGAATGCAGCCAACTTAGCAAGCCATGATTAAGCAAATTATTCCTTTGCATAATGGATTGCAATGAATAATGGATTCATATAGCTCAGTATAGTGATATTTCACTGATACAAAGCAGTTCCCCACTCCACAAAGGCTGAACGTGGACCTGGTATGTGATAATGTGTTTAGTGCTGGCTATTTTTTTGTATTATCTTCTATTAGTGCATACATTGCTTAATCATAATAAACATATTGTGTTTAATATTCTCTAGGATATTTTGTCATGAAATATGAGTGAATATCCTAAGAGTTAAACATAATGATGCTACAAAAGGACCTTGTGGGCTTTAAAAACAAGACAAACTGTCCTAGTCCTGATTCTTTTCCACAATTAGCTCATATTTCCACATTCTGGCAGGTCATTATCTTGGCTTCAAAAATGTCTGGAAGTTCATTTTTGATCTGTAAATATACTTTTCTCTATCCTGCAGATTTTAGGCAGTTTAGAGTGCATTACATAATTACATAATAAAAGCAAAGTGAAAATGGCTTTTAAAAAACTATATTGTTCCGGAAGCATCTGTGAAGCACAGAGCTACTGCGGACAAGGGAGCCATCTCTCTTGAGATCGTGAATGGTTAGGCCAGAATTTTATTGATAACCATAGCAAAGATTTGGCACAACATTCAGCACAGATCACCTGCTGGACCAAACCTTTGTGCTTACCTTCTGCAGTGTCAGAGGACAAACATGGCTAACTATGGAGGATCGGGCTTACTCCAGAAATGGTTGAAATCTGCAACCACTCTGCCTGGTGATTTCATACCACAAGTTGTAATTTGAAAGGTGCTACTTTTCCTAAGGCAGACTTGCAGTAATGGTGCAGGTGAAACCTACTGGTGATACAATCATTTGATTAAAGCAGTGTTTCTCAACCTTGCCAATGTGAAGATGTATGGACTTCAAGTCCCAGAATTGGAGCTGAAGTCCACACATCTTCATGTTGGCAAGGTTGAGAAACACTGAATTAAAGTCTGGCCTCTTCTTATAATAAAGGAACAACCTTCAGTACTAATGCAGCAAATCATTCATATAGTTGTTCATTTGTTCAGTCTTTGTGGCAAGATGGGCCTCATTTCAGTGAAGATTGTCCGTCTTATAAGTCCATTTTTTAAAATCCCACCTTTCTTATTTTTATAAATAACTCAAGGTGGCAAACATACCTAATACTCCTTCCTCCTCCTATTTTCCCAACAACCCTGTGAGGTTGGCTGGGCTGAGAGAGAGTGACTGGCCCAAAGTCACCC